CCATATGCCCCGATGCACCCCTATGTACTACCCTAAACTCTAAACCCCAGACCCTCAACCTTAAGTCTTATAAGCTCTAAACCCCAAGCTCTCAACCCTAACCCTGAGGCCCTATATCCTCACTACATACTGGGTAAGCCCCTGGGATATTTAACATTTTCCCTAATGGCCTTAATAGGGGACACTATATACGAATACTTGTCAATTGGTTTTAGGGCCCTGGACCCTGGACCCCAAAGCCCTGAAACCCAAAACTCTAAACCCTGAACCCTAACCCCTGCACCCTAAAGCCCTAAACCCTAAACCTTTAGGGAAAACCCAAAGGCATGCCGGTGTCGGAGTCTGGGACCTGACGTCGCGCAGCGGCCGCAACAGCATCGTGGTGTCCTCGGATACCGTACAACTGGGTTCGGTGCCTGACGCTTGATTGTATTGCAGGGGCGGGGTTTAGGGTTACGTAGGGTTTAGGGCCTTAAGTAAGTGTAGGGATATGTTGGAATAGGGGACAATCAAATAGAAAAGAAGACGGAATCAGATCAAATAGAAACTGGGGTGATAGAGGGGTTGAAGGATATTGAATTGCCAACAACATGGTCCTCGGTTCCTTGTTTAAATTTCGTAGCACGCCTGAGAATGAGATTGCCCCTATAGTAGGCCGAAGGCCTTAAGGGCGTACCTTGCAGGATAAAGATTCAGAGTTGAATGGGTAGATAGTGACCATAGTGAAGGGATAGGGAGCTTATCTAGGGATGTTGTGGGATCACAATATTAGGCAGGGCGCAGGGTCAGTGGTTGGGGGGTCTGGATTGAGGGTCTAGGGGTCTAACCCTAAACCCAAAATCCTTACAATCAAGGGATTTGGTGCTCAAACCTTGACCTCAATGTCTTGATCTTGGGTTGAGAGCATGTTACGCGCGACAGAACTCTACTTGGAGGCTCATGGGACTTAGTAACCACTTATAACTGGGCTTATAACGGCGCTTATAATCCCCCTAAATGGGCTTATAGGGTTACCCCAAGTATAAGTAGGGTTATCATCCCAGTTATAAGTAGTTACTAAGTCCCATGGGCCTCCAAGTAGTTGCGTCCCATGCCCAGACTGTACCTTGACATGCCAAAGTTGTTACAGAAGACGCCTACGGGCTTACATGCCCATTACACTCCCGGAAACTAACATGGAAACCCAAAAAGGGCCCTATAAAGACTACAGTCCTTCTAAAATGGTACTATATGGGTTTCCATGTTAGTTTGGGGGAGTGTATTTGGTGTTAAAGTCCAGCATTCACATGTGGCCTAAGGGCCTATTGGGCCTCGTACTTTGGAATAATCCTAGATGAACCCTCAACCTGAATAAACCCTAAACCCTAAATAAACCCTGACGCGCTAAATACGCTCTAAACCCTAAGTAAACCGTGAATACTAAACCATTGGTATGAAATAATCCTCGCCTCGAGTCGGCAGAGCGGGTTTACTTGGAGGCTCGCGGAGTCTTAGGGTGTAGGTTTAGGGTTTGGGTTTAATTGTATAGGGTTAAGGGTTGGGGTTCAGGGTGCAGGATTTAGGGTTTGGGGACACCAGGCGTTGCATGGAGAACTTCGTCGAATTGCCGGAAATAGCGTTAGAATCTGTCTTATGAGACTCTATATGTAAATATATGTGTATATATACATATACATACTGAAGATGGAAGAAATCTTGCACCACCTTAAGTCCCTATAGTTCTAGGACTTACAGTAGTTTAGGGCCCCTAGGTGGTGCAAGATTTCATCCATCAACAGTATGCATGTGGTGTCACTTATGGAATTATGAAAATGAACAGTTCTTAGGATTACTGGCAGTATTTTGTTACAGAAAACGTGTAAATAAGCCCTGAGCCTGCTGCAGGATCGGCATTTTCTCGTTCCTAAACCCTAAACCCATATATATATATATGTATAAATATACATATATATATATATGTGTGTGTATACCATGGGATTAGAGTAAAATGGGAGAATCAATTTAAAGAACATGCAAAATGGAATGGACACGTGGATATAGTGGTTTATAGGGATTAGGGCTTATACTGGGACTGTACAGATTATGGTCCCTATTTGGGTACCCATTCTTTCGGGGACCGTATTCCACTAGTGCCTCAAGAAAGGACCACAACTTCGACAACCAACATTTGTATGTATATAATGCAAAATTCCTTGCTTCCTAATCTTCCCCCTATGTACCCTTCCATGGACAGGATAGCATGCAATAAGTGAACCCCTCCCCCTGATAATCCCTCCTGGACATGATGATCCCTCAGCCCGTACAGATTCATTTGCAAGAGCGCAGATTGAGCCCTGAACTCTTCTAAGCTGTCAAAATCACTGATCACTTAAGCAAGAACTACAAGGCTTCCTTTTTTCTCACAAAGCCTCATGATTTGCTAAGCGATAAGCTCATGCACCGACGGATTTGGACATTGCTGAACCCAGGTATTTGCCCGGAATTAGTTCAAACTGCTACCCCGAGTATTTTGAAGCCTCAGAATCATTAAAGTAACCTCAGGACATCGATCTCCGGCCTTCTAGCTGGGAGTTGAGATTCAGCCACAACTTCAAATCTGCTGGCCCCCTTCCAGTGTGCCTGGTGGAGGGCGCTTGCCACATGGAGATCGCAGCCATGTATGATACTAGGCCATTTGAGTAGTATTTATTTGGGGATACTATGCTACCCAATATGGAGTAAGATTCTATCCTGCTTTTAGGGTATAATATTTTACATAAGGAATATAATCTTACTAGGTTCAACCACCCAAAGAAAACGCTACTCACTTGACCCTAAACCCTAAACCCTAGGCCTTAAACGCTAAACCTTTTGACCCAGAGATGTCCTACAAACAGGACTTAACTTTGGCTTAGCACATAGCCCCACGAAACAGCTAACACAAGTTGTTCGAGGCTTCCATGGCAGATCTGGTGACTAGAATTCCGCTTTTTAGGTTTTGGCATGGACTTGGACGGCAGCGTTTTGGGAGGGGTACTTGGGTCGAGTCCAGGAAATGTTGCTGAAGGGAGAGTGCAGCCTCAGTGAGGGGGAGATCATATGCCTCTGAGGGGAGGCTTAGAATGAGCCCGCAAAATCTCCAGCTAAACCCTAGACCCTAAACCGAAAACACACCTCAAGGACCGCTCACTCTGGCAGTTTTTAGTAGGTGTGCTGGTTTGCAAGTTGATCGTTGCGAAATATTTCGCTCAAATAGTTCAGAAAGAACAGGCCGTGACAAATGCCAATCTCTGGAAATGCCCATGGCTGATTCCAGAAGTACTCATATCCATATGATGCGGCTCCTACAAGGGGACCCACAATCCACGGAGGCCAAAACTGGAAGTTCCCTGAACATGCTTTTTTCTTTGGGAAGTTCTGTTATCTATAATCCTAATAGCCGGCTGGAATTGTGATTTCTACCACGGCTCCAGAGAACTGAGAGTAGATTCTCCCTTCTGCTACCACAATCTCCTCCTCTCCTTTCGCAGCCTGGGATGTTCCCAGCAAAAAGGGGCTTACATCAGTGGCGTACGGTATACAATGCGGGCCCAATCCCGGACCCCCAAAACCCTCAAGCATTCCTCAGGCCTGAACAAAATTCAAGATGCGGGAATGCCAGCTTCCATTTTCTTATCTGTTTGAGATCCTCCGTTTCTGCTAAGTACATAAGACATGAACCTTGAACCCAGCCCTTGGCTTCAGTTCCGCAACTCAGGACGAGGGTAAAAATCAGGTCTATATCACGGGGTATAAATCCTTGAATCCCTCATACCCGCCCTCCTCAGCCATGAAAGATACCCGCAGACCCTAAACCGTATACCATAAACCCTACATCCAGGATGAGGGTTTAATCTAGACCCCTGATTAATACACCCCCGCCCCTTAAAAGTGATTATAATAGGGTTCCTAGTATTAAAGCCCCTGAAGGAGGAGGTTTATTAATTAGGGGTCTATATTAGGGTTTAGGGATATTATGATAAGATCCCCATATACCCCATATTCTATCTACTGAAGGTTGACCCTTGCCTCTAAACTCTAAACCCTATACCCTTAACCCCAAACCCTAAACCCTAAGCCCCCAAATCCTAAACCCTAAACCCTAAACCCTAAGCCCCTAAATCCTAAACCCCTAAACCCTAAGCCCCTAAATCTTAAACCCCTAAACCCTAAGCCTTAAATCCTAAACCCTAAACCCAGGATGAAGGGAGGCTGTCACAGAACGCTGCTGCTTTCCGCACGCGCGCGGAGCTTGAAGCCGCTGTTTTTCACATCGCGGAGGCAGCGACACCTGGCTGCAGCGAAGGGATTTGAGGGTTTGGGTTTAGGGCTTTGGGGTTTAGGGTTTTGGGTTTTGGGTTTAGGGTTTAGGGTGTAGGGTTTGGGGTTAAGGGTTTAGGGTTTATTTAGGGGTTAGGGGTTTAGGATTTAGGGCTTTGGGGTTTAGGGTTTTGGGTTTGGGGTTTAGGGTGTAGGGTTAAGGGTTTAGGGTTTATTTAGGGTTTAGGGGTTTAGGATTTAGGGCCTAGGGTTTTGGGTTTGGGGTTCAGGATTTAGGGCTTAGGGTTGGGGGTCTAGGATTTAGGGACACACATTACTGCAGCCTAGAGGGTGCAAGTATGCCTCCGCGAACATTGTATCTCTAAACCCTAGACCCCCAACCCTAAACTCTAAACCCTGAACCCACCATCAATGGTACCCACGCTAGACCACAAGGAGTGGACTTCCAAATGTTAGTTTTCAAAGGCTGGGGTGTCCTTTTTGGGGGTTCCCCGTAATTAATACGGCTTATCGGATTTTTGGGTTTATATAGGCGTCCACCCATTTATGGAAACTACCACACTAAACCCCCTAACCTTGAACCCTAAACCTTAAACCTTAGACCCTAAACCCCTAAACCTTTTAGCCCAAACCCGAATGCTGTACTAAGGAAGCAGGGCTTGCCAGAAGCGATTCTGGCGCTTGCTCGGCTAGCCTCAGACATGGATCACTCAGACTTCCTTCCGCAGATGCTGGGCTTCAGATTGAGGGCTTAGGGTTTAGGGGTTTATGGATTTGGGGTTTAGAGGTTTTGGGGTTTACGGGTTTGGGGTTCAGGGTTTAGGATTTAGGCTCAAGGAGGATGATGAGGATTTCTTCAGCTTCTTGCTGGGGCTGACTTGCGGTTTTTGGGATGCTGCGGGTACCGTCAGAGCTTCCGCGAGTTCAAGCTCGATGGTCCGTAAGCAAAGGCCAGGGTAAGTAGCTGTAGGATTTGGAAGTTTCTGAAGACTCCAGTATATTACACCCCCAAACCTTATCCTAGTTGAGTAAGCCCTTTAAATTAGCCAACCCCCAGAGAGGGAAGTCCCAGGACGCAACAGAAGGGGGCCCAGGGCTTGGGATTTAGGGCTGGAAGCTCGCAAGCTCTGCTTGTTCAGGCCCAACACTAAATGACGCACCTGGCCGAATCACCTCCCCCAGTACTTCACATCCTCACCCAATGCATCTTCCACTATCATACATATAACATACTTGTACTGTGTCATTGGAGTGTGGGGTCTTATGGTAAGAGATAATCCCCCAAGGAGTGGTGCCCGGAGGTTGGGATTCCCTGAAACGCGCCATGGATAAGGGACACTGGAATGTACCCATGCATGGGGTCTGCTTTTAGCTGAGGGCCCTGAATCCTAAAACAATTGCAGGACCGAACCCTGAAGCCTGAGGCCGCAAAATGACCCCGGAACACACAGAAAAAAGATGCCTGGACCCGGACACCTGAAGCAAAACCTAGACTCTGAGAATCAAAAACAAATCTATGCTCTAAACCCTTAAGCCCCATATCCTTTTGAATGACGGCCTTGAACTCCCCGACCTTGAATCCCTGCCTGAAACCCCTTACCTTGAATCCCTACAGCCTCATAACCGTCATCTTAGGGTCTGTAGCACTGATGCCGAGAGATGGCTGTGCTTGGCGCTGCTCCGCGTCTGGGTCTTCAAGATATCTCCGCATCCTAAAACCCTAAACCCTAACCCAACCACCCTAAACTTCAAAGTCCTCAACCTACAAACCCATACCTAAAACGCTAAACGCCAACACCCTAAGCCCCAAGCCCCAAACCCTAAAACCCCTAAATCGTAGTTTCCATTTTCTTCTCCCTACACAACCGTACATCGCCCTCAAAAGCGACCCTGCATACGACCTAGTTAATTAAATTCAAATGGACTTTTTTGGGGAACCCCAAACATAGAACCGAAAGAATATAGTAGGAATGTAATAGCAATATACCTACCAGGGTCCTAATATTCCATTATCATATTCCCACTATTTTCTTGGGGTTCCCTGTTTGGGCTTTTTTTTATTAACGCCCTTTAAACTCTAAACCCAAAACCTTAAATCCTAACCCTTAACTCCTAAACCCTAAGCCCTAAACCCTAAACACCTAAACCCTAAATCCTAAACCTTAAATCCTAAACCCAAAGCCCAAAACCCTAAACCCTAAACACCTAAGGCATGGCCTCTAACCTCGGGATTCTGGCCGCCCATGGTGCCCTTGCCCGCCTGTTGCTGGGCTGGATCTTTCAGAAGGGTTTGGGGCCTAGGGCTTAGGGTTTGGGGTTTAGGGCTTAGGGTTTAGGGATTAGGGTTTAAGGATTGGGGTGTAGGGATTAGGGTTTTGGATTTAGGGATTAGGGTTTTGGGATTAGGGTTTAAGGACTGGGGTGTAGGGATTAGGGTTTTGGATTTTGGGATTAGGGTTTGGGGTTCAGGGATTAGGGTGAAGGGATCAGGGATTAGGGTTTAAGGATTGGGGTGTTTTGGATTTTGGGATTAGGGTTTGGGGTTTAGGGTTTAGGGATTAGGGTTTTAGGGTTAAGGGTTAGTAGTGAGTAAGGGGATCTGATATATGGGGGTTCTCTAGGGATTAGATTCCCTGATTCCCTACGAGCCACCAGTAAGTTCAGGGATTCCGGATTGGGGTTGAGCAGCTGGCGCCCTAGTCAATTTACCTGTCCGCTTTCCTTAACAGGAGCGTTGCTTGAACCCCCAAACTTTCGTCCAGCTTCTCCGCTTCCTCAAAGGAGTGTGCAAAAGCTCCCCGAACTCTCGGTCTGGACCCCAACTGTTCTTTGAGACCCGATTTGAGACTTTGAAACTAATTCTGTCGTGTTAGACGCAATTTTGGTCTTTCGGTCCACTTTGCAACAATTTCGGGTTGTTTGAGCCATTTTTTTCCGGAGCCACTTTCGGCCTTGCAGTCATGTTGGTTCTTTTGGAGCCAACTTGGGCCTTTTTCAACCAATTGCTTTTTTGTAGCTGATTTCGGCCTTTTGCGGCCAAACAGTGCCCCTACCCTTGCAAACTTTGCCAAGCTTTGCCTCGACCCCCCTCCTTCTCTCCATAGAAACTGCGTAATCTAGAGCGACCTCACCTGACCTCACCTTAAATGGTGGTTTATATAGGGAATAGTATCAAAATAGGCTTAAATTGGGAGTTGAAATGATTTTAACTTTCCCTGTACAAACTGGCGAACTTTGCCTCTGCCCGCACACGTCGCCAAATTTTTTTGGCCTCCCACATCTAGGCCTCCCACATCCTTTCATCCTTGCACACTTTACCAAATTTTGTCCTCCACGACCATAACAGCTGCGCTGGCGCACCTCGGCGAAGCCTTCCAAAATTTTGTGTTGGGGGTTAAGGCTTAGGGCGGGGGCAGAAGGGCTTAGGGGGTGGCAGTAGGTGGTTTGCATAGTGCTCGCATAAGGGGGGTTCAGATGGTCAAGGTATACTTTGGCTCCTGTGCCAAAGAGCCCTATAAACCCTTAGCAGGATTGGTTTTCACTGGGCTCAATAAGTCCTCGACGCTCAGGTTGCAGAAGTCTCTCATAGAGTTAACGCCCCTGCTGCAAAGCCATCATTTCCTGTTTAAGGATATGTGATTTCTTCTGCTGCCTTCAACTGCTCACGCGGCTTACAACTCCAAGATTGCCCAGGGATTTTCTCTCTCTTACCTCGAAAATAAAATGCCCGTCCCACCTCGCCCGCCCTAACCTTTGACATCCCACACGAAGTTCCCAAAATTAGGGTCCAAGGAGGCCCATATTTTCGAGAATAACCGAAGTATTGGGGGCAGATTCTACAATTTGGGGGGACAAGTGTCAAAGGGAATGGGCTCCCTCATCTCTAGACGCCAAGCCCCATGACAAAATCTAATCCTAAACCCCAAACCCTAAACGCTAAAACCTAGATAGTAGTCTCCATTTTAGGGTCCATTGGCCCAATAAAACGTTAATCCTAAACCCCAAGCCCTGAGCCCCAAATCTGACGCCCTCAACCCGGAGTCCTAAGCCCTAAGCCCTCAACCTCGAAACCTACATCCCAGACCCCAGGGTTAAGGGCTTATAGTCACCCTTAAGTAGATAGAATATGGGGTATTTGGGGATCTTGCTATAATATACCCAAAGCCATATTCCATCGTCTTAAGGGGGACTATACAGTGCCCATGCCCTAACCCCTCAATCCCACATCCTCAAGCCTGTCAAGATTGTTTTGAACAGCCTCACGCAAAAGTGCTTAGGCTGGTTGATGGCGTGTACTCCGAGAGACACCTCGCAAGGTTAGCAGAGGTTCCGGGCTTTCATGGTTTTATGAGAACCTTAAACCCTAAGCCCCATATTGGGAGTGCAGAGTTTTGGAGTTTGAGGTGTAGGGCTTGGGACTTCAGGTTTGGGGTTCCGAGGTTTTGGAGCTTCGGGGTTTGGAGTTTCGGGCTCCGGTTTGGCTTTTAGGGTTCAGTGTTGTTAAGCAAGCCAGGGGGGGAAGCTTCTGAAAGAGCTGCCCTACTCCACACAGCGCGTTTGGGGTTGAGTGGGGATTAAGATATATTCGGAATGCACCCCAATCCCTAAACCCTATTACCCCCATCAAACCCTGTAAAGGTACCCCTAGTTTGAGAAACACCCATGCTTGGCTGAGTATTTTCCAGGTAGCTATAAGCTCGTACCGGCCGGTTGACCTGGTGCGTCGTTGCTTCAATCTACACTCCTTTATTTAGGGATATAAGCCCCCCGAGATTTCCTGTTCTTGCTTGGATTCAGCATACACTCGAACCCTAAACCCTAAACCTAAACCCTAGCATCAAAATCTTAAGCGACATCTCCACTTGAGACATGGCCAGGGAAATGTTATCGAGTTTAGGATTTAGGGTGGCGCTCTGCGGATAACCAGCAATTTCTCGTCTTGTTGTTGCATAGCAGAGAGCCTATTCATGAATGCTTTTGAGAGCGTGGAAAGTACAACCCAGTTTTGGGTTCTACGGTTGATGGAGGAAATCTTGCACTCAAAACCCCCCAAAGAAACTGCAAGTTAAAGGGTATAGAGTAAATGAGGTCGTCCAGGATTTCCTCCACCCACAGTAGGGGTCGGACCCCCAAGGAAGCGAAGAGAGTCTGCTGCTTGCTGCAAGTTGCCTTGAGAAGTTTGCACTTGAATCAGCCGAAGCCGGAGAGTCTGACATGAAAGAGCCCTTGAAGCATGAAGCTTGGCAAGTTAGTGTTTTGGGCTTCGAGTTCAGGGTTAAGGGTGTAGCGTTTTTGGGGGTTTGAGGTTTAGGGCGTTGGGTGTAGGGTTTGGGGGGGGGTTTAGGGTTTGGGGTTTAGGGCTAAGGGAGTAAGTGCCACAGGGCGAAATAAGCATAGGGCGCAGGGCTTAGGGTGGTTCTGGGCTTTAGGACCCCCTGAAACAACAAATTATGATTGTTGGTTGGCGTTAGGTGTCAATCTAGTTTTGTTTTATGAGGCCCAACAAGGGTTGTGAAATTGTAGTCTTAATGGTATCGCATTGAGAAGCCAAAACTCATGAAACAGGGCGAATTAACCCTAGTGTTGACCGGGTTGCTGTTAAGGAGCTTCAAGTAAGTTACTATAATACAGAAACCCGATCGTTTGCTTTTTTCACCATAATACAGTAACTTGAAGCAAGTTCCTCAACAGCAACCCAGTTGAGGGTCAAGGGCTTAGGGCGGCTTACGGGTGACGCAAGGGGTAAGCCTGGCAAGTTATCAAGGCCTGGCCGGACCCCAAAACGGTCCGACATTTTCGAGTTTTAATCCCTTTTTGGGGTTTCCTTAACAAGGATCATAATCTATCGGCAGTCTAGGCACAACAAGGTTCTCCTGCATTTAGCAAGATGAACCCTGATCCAATGAAGGTGTGTTGATTTGGGTTCTTTTGTTTTAAGATACCAAACTCATGTCAGGGTTGTCTTTACGGAGTTCCGAAGCCCGCATCTCTAAACCCTTCTGTGGATAGAGGACATCTTGCAGCTTCTCATGCACACAATCGATGGGATTTGGTGGTTTGATGGTTAGAACTTAGAAGTGGTGCAAGATCTTTTCCATCCACAATGGCCCATGTAGACTCCAGCCCCAAAATACAAAATCCTCGGCGCTGAAACCCTGACCTTTCCACCCTGACCTTCAAAATCCACCTCTGCGCTCTGTAAGACTTCAACACAAAGCCTCAGACCTGAACTTTCAAAAGCAAACCATAAACCCTGCACCTCCAGAACTGCCCCCTAAACTTTGAAGCCCTAAAGCTTACCTCTAAACGCCCCTATTACATTATTATTACTACTATTGGTACTACGGTTATTGCTATTATTACCGCTAGGAAGTCCTAAACCCAAACCCTAAACCTATAGTCCCCCTTAAGTAGATAGAACATGGCTTTGGGATTATTATAACAAGATCCCCATATACCCCATATTCTATCTACTTAAGGGGGACTATAAACCCTAGGAAGTGTGTTGCAAGCATGGCTGCGTCTTCGGCTGGGATTCTCATGGCTGGCAGCCACACAGCGCGTTCGCGCGCGCGGCCGAGCTGTACGAAAACGAGCTGCGATCTCAACCCGGATCCCTGGAGTTTAGGGTTTAGGATTTAGGATTTTAGGGTGAAGAGTTTAGGGGTTTTAGGGTTTAGGATTTAGGATTTAGGGTGAAGAGTTCAGGGGGTATAGGATTTAGGGTAAAGAGTTTAGGGTTTTTAGGGTGTAGGGGTCGCACGGTTTAGGGTTTAGGCGTTTAGGTTTCTTTAGATGCTGTTGTTGGAGGATTTCAGGTTTGCCGGTTGGGTTGAAGAGCCTTAGCAATCCAAATACCCTTAAGTCGGCATATTTTGTAGATTTGGATCCCGAGGGCGGATTAGGAGTGTTGTATCCGGTATTGTCACGTACCACCCAGAGCCCTGAAACTATCGTGGGACTCAGGGTGGGGGATTTGATCCACCTTCTAAAACCCTAAACCATACACCCAGAGGATCATGGGCAAAGTCCCGGGAACTCTGGTCTTCGGCAGCTGAGTGCGCATTGGAAGATCCCAAGTTGGCCAAGCAAGCCATGAGGTACCTGGATCCTAGAGTTTAGAGTTTAGGGTTTAGGGCATAGGGTTAATAGAAATTGATAAGGGTTTGGGTCCTTGAGTTTCAAAGTCTTGACGTGAGTTTTGAACTGAGTTTTTTTGTTTAATTGTTCCAAACCTGGACCTTGCTGCTGCTGTGATTCAGCAGCATGGACTTTCCAGGAGGGAGCTCGTGACAGAACTCAAAGCACGGGCTGAGTAGACTGGACTGGTGTTGTGACATCGATTGATGCAAGTGTCCCATGCAGGAAGGGCCCTCGCATTGCAAACGGTTGGCAGCATCATTTTCAAATGCCGTTGGGAATGACACCGTGCTCTCGTTAGTAGGGCTCCTGCGCATAGATGCTCGTGATGCATCTGCCTAAGCTGCGTTGCAGCTTTTCACTTGCGCCGGCCGTTTGGCCATCAATGTACCTCGATGAGGGGGTTGACCGCAGTCTTCCCCTGCAGGTTTGGAACTACTTCTGGAGCCCATCTGGGCCTTGTGGGTGATCCGCTTGTGCTTACAGTAGACGCAGCACCTGTCGTTAAAGCAATGTCCAGGGACTCAGTCGTGGAAGTATGCAATTTCTATCGATTTTCGTCTTGAGGGCTTAGGGCTTAGGGCGTTTAGGGTTAAGGGTTTAGTTTAGCGCCTAGGGTTTAGAGTCTTGGCTAGGGTCACTGTTTTCATGTAGATGTTGTGTTGTTTTGCTATTGTTTGCTATTAAAGCGCGAAAAAATGCAGAATACTTGTAGCTGCTCTAATAAACTTCCAACAAAAAAACAGTTCAGGCTTTAAGGGACCTGACTTTCCCCAACAGAAGTGAAATTACATTTTGAATGATGGGGGCTGCTAATCTCCCACGACCCTCCGGTAACCTCAGAAACCAACACAAAGCCTTGTAAAACACGACATAAAAAAGAAGCCCTTCTTTGCAAGCGGTTTTCCGTTAAGCGCTTTGTATAAACTCCTTTCATATCGGCTACATCTAACAAGCTCTCAAAAAAACACCAAACCAGTCTAAGAATTAAGGAGGTTCCTATCATGTGAGCAAGCTATGCCGTAGCTTCTTGTACATACATTCCTGAAAAAAGACCCCGTGAAAAGTGACAACAGTGAAGATCTAGGAAGCGAAGGATGTTCTTTATCCCTGCGTGCTTGTGCGAAACGATCCTGCAAAATCATTTCAGAGTTGATTAGTTGTTAAGGGCGACTTAGTAGTCTTTGCCTGTCTCAAAGTAATCCCTACCTGAACCCCAGGAGTAGGTAAAGATAATAGCCCAACAGCCTTGAAAATTGCCAAAATGGGCATTATTCTGCATACGTTGGGGGTTTAGGTAAACCTTGAGCCCTAATCCCTCAACCCTAAACTTTAACCCCAAACCCTAAACACTAAACCCTAATCGTCCGCGATTTTGACTTCTCTGGGAAGTCTCAGGATTAGGCACGGGACTATTTGGATACGACTCAGCCATCTAAACTGCAAGTACACGCCAAACCCTAAACCGTGAAACTTGAAGCCTACGAGGACTGTGAAATATGGTTTAGACATGATTTGAACAGCTGCATCGCAGGTATACCGAGAAAGCCGAGTTGGAGGACGTGTTATTTCCAAGGGCGTCCCCATTTTTTGAGTGCGTGCTTATTACATATTACACATGTTTCATGCAAACAGCTGAAATCATCATCTGCAGAAATGGCAGAAACGTTCGAAGGCACGTAGAAGAAACTAATCGTTGATAAAGCTTCACATTCCGCAAGATCATTAACATAACAACTCCCACAATTTACCGTGGAGCACTCGAGTTTCCTCCTCACGCTTCCTGTTGACGTCAGTTTTTGGCATGCTTCCTGCGCCAGGAAGCCAATTATATACATTGTAAACCACCAGACTTTGTGCTTCATAGGAGCCGGAGGCGGACAACGCTCCTGTTGTGGCTGAAGATACCCAACACGCCGCGGGCGACGGCCTGGTGATATGCCTTCAGGGGGACTTGCGCGAGCGCTTCCAGCAGTTTGCAGCGGCACCTGGGACTCTGAGTTCCACGCTTTGGGCTTAATGGTTGGGATGCAGTGGTTAAAGTTTAAATTTCAAGCTTCAATCTATTTAGGCTTGCTTCATCCAACAGGCGAAGAAAAACTTCGAGTCGCCGATTTTGGTATTTTCCCGATCGTCTTGACCGCATTGTCAGAGTAACAAAACCATCCTTTTCCTCGACGTTACCAGTTAAACCAGAACACAACAGCTAAATGGGTTTGCTTGAAGTGCCCACAGATTCTGACGCCACAACGTCCCAAATCATTGGTCATGAACCCCAAAATCCTAAACCCCTATGACAGCCTTAAATCCTAAACCCCAAGGCCTTCGCCTCTCCGGAGCATGCTGTGGAGCATTTGCTCCAGCTCTTCGAGCAGGCCGTCGCCAAAGAAGCTTTTGCTGATGGGGCCATGCCAGTGCCCGAGGCCAAGGAGGAGCTCAATATGCCACTAGAGCTTTGGGTTACGGGTCTTTTTGATCTAGTAGGCAATGGGGAAATGGAGAACCGATTGAAAAACATGATTGAAATTCCTATATATTCTTTGGGATTTAGGGAATTAAGATTTAAGACATGGGGTTGGGCGATGCACCTATGGAAGCTTTCAGATTGTGCCGTGAAAAAAGCGTACGTAGGAGACAAGCATGGAACCCCAAATACGCCCTTGTAAGAAGACATTTTTTGTCATGGGGTCGTCTTGACTTTCCATATCATGTTGTCGTAGAGGAGTGCACTGAGCAACTCGCAAATCTGCCTGTAGATCACTGACAATGATTCATCTGTGCTGCTTACGGACACATCCTGCGTCATCCTGCAGCCCTAAATGGTGGGGGCTGATGACTAAAATCCTGCCTGACCTCAAGAATTGGAGGATATGAGGTACTTAGGGTAACGCAGGTTTTTTGTTAATTGTCAACCACAGTGGACTTGGGGTTATGCCGGGCTTGGTCCATCATAGTTGGGTATACTTTAGGTTTTTAGGGTTTAGGGTTCAGCGTTTAGGGGAATCGCCACCACTTGGGCCTGGTGACATGGAGGATTCAGTTTCGTCGTCTGCCGGCCTGGGGTATTGCCCAGGATCCCTCAACCATACACCCGGAAACCTCGAGGAAAGCATAGTTTTGGTGTTTGGAGTATTAGTTTCCGGTGCAGCCGTGGGAAGAACCCAAGCATCTGAGAGGGAGTAATTAGCGAAATCCTGTGGCCATCGACCGCACTTTTATTTGTAGTGTGACTGCACCCGTTGGTTTTGGGTTTGGCCTTGTTGTCGATGTCATTATCATAGTAGAGCTGAAGTACTAGCGAGGAGCTCTGTCAGCTAGAATCTGAATCTCAAGAAACACCCGTTTTCTCTTCTACATGTTCCTGCAGCCGTAGACCCCAAACCAAAATCCTTAAACCTGCAGGAGTGTGCGACAGATGTGGCTGCTCCGCTCAAGGAGGCAGAGGTGGACGAAGATGTTTGGGCCCTTCTCGGATGAACAATTTTCAAAGCTATAAATGGGTAGTTCCCAAAATGAGGACCCATTTTGGTACCCCTAAATACTAGGTGCCGTAATATGACCTATAACCAAAAAAGAGCCCATAATTTTGAGAACAACCCAAATGGCTCTGAACTCCAAAGCGCAAGTTGGCGCATAAAAACAGATCGAGTCTAATTATTTAGCTTGCGGTAGCTCCAGCCTTCTTCCTCCCAGAAATTTGGCATTCCCTAGTCATTCCGCAAGAAATCTTCGTTAATTAATTTCTTGAAGTCCTGGATGGCGATTTGATTTGCGGTTCTGATTTTGAATATATACCTCATGGTAATGCAAATCGGTCGCAAGAGGCTGCGCAAGATACTCATATATCCTTGATGAAAATGATTTCTAGAGGTAAAAATCTATACTTCAATAGATATATAAAATCTAAATATGGAATCCATATCAACTACCAAATCCTCGACCTTAAATGACGATTTCTATATATTGATAATCTGATTGTGAAAAAGATTTTGATCAGATATAGAAATTCCCTCATGTACGTACGTCCATAATATTTTTCCATTATCGATTTCAAGATTGGATTCTTTTCAATTTTGATATAAAATATATTAGATATATATCTATCTTGACGAGATAGTGGCAAGAAATAAGAGAGATATTTTAAATATGAAGATGCAAGTAAGATTCTGATTAATAATGATATAAAAAATATATATTATATTTCAATATTACGGCGTTTTGGGATGATTTCGTTCGCGCGCGATCTAGATGTTCTGGTTCATTTTGAAAATATTTATTCTTGGTCTCTTTGGGGGTTGTATAATTTCGAAGATTTTAGAATTGGAGCGACTTTCTAATTATTTATTTTTCTTTTTAGTTATTTGAATAACTATTCGTCGGATAATTTTGATCTGAGGCGGAGAATTAATATTTTTTAGAATTTATAAATTGGGCATAGCTATCCACGGAGATATTTGCATTGCGCCGAATCGACGCGGAGATAGCTTAAGGAAGGCAGATGATCGGCTTGGATACGGCAGGCCGCACGACCGGAAATCTTTCGAATCTTCTATCGATTGATCTCTCCGGATATTTGCTCGGCGATTCTATATAGATCTTGGGCGGAGAATTAATATTTCTCAGATTCTATTTTCTATTAGAAGGATTATTTTGATCGTATGCGGCTTATATATTGATTATTCGTCTGGATATATCTACGATATTATATATTCTAGGGTTTATTTCTCTCTGGGGTTATTCGCAGGAATATATAGGCCCGGGACGGAGAACCAAAATTTAGAATTTTCGAATTTGCCGTAATTTTTCACGGAGGCATTACTCTAACATCTTTCAGAATTTAATAGATTGGTCATTTTATTTATCATATATAAGCTTATATATCGATTGATCGTCGAGATATATATGCGATATTATATCGTCTACAGAATTTAGCGTTCTTTGAGCGTCTACGCGGTTATTGGGAGGAGTGTATAGATCCGAGACGGAGAATATAAATTTTTAGAATTTATAGATTAATGATATCTATTTATAGAGATTCATGCGCCTGCAGAATCGACACGTAGATAGCCCAAGAGAGACGCATGAGGCAGAAAATTCGGAATAGATGAAGGGGTTGAACGATTAAAGGACCGTACTACTAAAAATCTCCTAAGATTTCGAGTTATTTCTTTCTCGACTCGGCGGAATGTGAAGATCTGGGACGGAGATCTAATATCTTTCAGAATCTATATATCGCATACGGCCTTAAAATCTTGATAATTCATAAGATTTCACGTGCAAGCTTATATATTATTTGATTATCGGATCTTCTATTATGGAATTTCTCAAATTCAGATTTTCCGTTGTTGTAGGCAGCGGGCTAATTCTATTTTTTGATAATATAAATTCTTGAAGAATAGATATTAATAAAATATTATAGAAAATAAATAATTGGTGAATTCTATTTTATCGAATCGTTAGAAATTCTGAAATATATGAAAAATGATATGAATAATTTATTATTCGAATATATATATATCATATTTATATTCATTTTATGATTTTATTATTAGGAGATTAAATATATGAGGTATCCTATATATTTTTTTTTCGGAAGATTGGAAAAGATATAGATTTTTTTTATTTTATATTATTCAGAAATTTAAATGATGAAATATTAATGTTTCTATGATTTGAAGATTCTTGAATAATCTATATTTTGCATATATTATTCGAGAAGAGAAATATTATCTAGAATATATTTTGATTGCGGTATTTGATCTTATCGCCTTGATGATTTTTGATATTCTTGATTTTATTGATAGATTCATTTTTTCGATTTATCGTGAAAATTGACGAAATATATGATTCAATCTATCTCAATATTATAGGGCGGCGTCATCTCGTTCGTGCGACCTAGATTTTCCGATTCCTTTTAGAAATGCCTTCTACGGGCTCTCTAGAGACTCTAAAATCTCGGCGATTTTAGAGCCTTTCGGAAAAACTAAAGCTCTAAAATCTCCGAGATTTTTCGTCCGAGAAACGTGATCAAAAATCTCAGAGATTTTTGGTCACGCGACCCTTATTTCTGGATAATTTTCCGCGTGATTTATCTCTCTTTGGTTGATTGCGCGGCTACTCGCCGGAATGTATAGCCCCGGGATAGAGAATCAGAATCTTTTGGAATTTATAGAAGGACCATATCTATTCACATGAATTTATGCATTCTTCCGATTCGTTGCGTAGATAGACCAAGAGAGATAAATGAAATGGAAAGACCGGGAAGGATGCGGACGTCGCGCGATCGAAATTTCGCACGAATTAAAGATCGAATGATCAAAAATCTCCCAAGATTCTGAAATATTATCTTATCTCTCTTTGGCTCGGCGGAACGTGAAGATCCGAATGGAAATTTAAAATCTTTCAATATATAGTACGTGCGAATTTAAGAGATTGATAATTCATCGGATTTCATATGCGATCTTATATATTATTTGATTATCGGATTTCTTATTATAATTTTTTCAAATAAAGATTTTCCGCTGTTGTAGGCAGCGGATCAATACTAATTTTCATTATATATCCATTAGATCTTCTGAATATGAAATATCATTCATTCAAAATGAAAAAGAGAAATGATAATGATAACAAAGAATATATTTTTTTAAGATATTTTTAGATTTTATTGAAAAGAATGGTTATAGATTTCAATTGGCATTCCCCAGAGATATCTAATTAGATTATCTTCCTTAACGCCTTCTCCATCAGATCTATTGACCAAGATTGAAGGGAATAACGGAAATCCTACGGACCTTAATCCAGGTCCAAATATATAGATTTCAATTTTGCGGCTATTGCAAGATGATCGTCATGAATTAGCGACCTATCTATCTTATATAATTTTCGATATCTCCAATAATCAGATCAAATAGAATCGATCATTCTATTAGATGAGATTCCGTGCAATAATTTAATAGCAGGCATCTAATGAATTCTGAAATATTTCGATTTCTCTATTCAGGGGATATAATTGCAATCGTAAAAATATCTCAGGATTGTCTAATGATGCGAAGAGAGGCGCAAATATTATCTTTTACGGACTAGAAGCCATGCTCTCTTCTCGCGCCATATATTTTGCCTCCACGGAAGGCAAGATGTCATAACCTTGTTGCTAGCCAAAATTGCAAGGCAATTCGACGTATAATTGATAATAATCTTTATTTCTTCTAATATAGTCTGATTAATATAGGTCTGCCTAGGAAAAATATTAAGGCAACGACAGATTGAAGATTATCAAAGATCATCTCCTATTCAATATCAATGCCGGTCATGATTGCGAACGAATCTATTAGTCAATTGCGGTCGGAGATAATTAAGGCGCCCTGCCCTATATCGGGCATTAGATTGAAATTTCTAAGATAGAAAATAAATCTAGCAAAGAACGATATCTATCTTCTAATTATGAAATCCCATCGGCTTCCGCGACGAATTAAATGAGAAAGAATAAATCTAATTATTCAGGAATTTTGAATCCTCATCAATTCTATTTAAATAAGAATTTGGAGATCTCAAAGGATTCATCTTTTTCAATAAATATATATTTCTATAATTTTCAAATAATAAATTGAATTCTATGATTTTTCAAAATATAAATAAAGATTTATTAGAGAAGATTTCTTTAGATTAATACAATATTTCAATAAAAGAATTGAAGAATTATCATCATATTAATATTAGATTTTCTATCGAATCTATAATTAGATAAATGAGATATTTATGAAATTCAAGAAATGATCAATTCCGAATCATGCTAGATTTTCATTTATTCAATTTCATTTTAAGAATTGAAAGATCTAATATTATTAATAGATTAGATAGATATATATATTGAAATATTTTTTGATAAGAAGATATCATCTCCTAAATCAATATCGAGATCATAAATGAATATCATCTATATCTTATGAGACGATCTTCTAATATTAATATTTCTATTCGATTAAATTTATTCATCTAAAATCATATTCAAATTCCTCAAATAAAACGAAATCAGATAATTTCATTTTTAATTCTCCGAATCATATATTCTCGATATCTAATTATTCGAAATAATTTCATCAATATCTCATTTGATACTTATAGAATCATTGGATATATTATTTCATATTCTATTAGAATTTTGCAAAATATTCAAGGAAATCATTATTCTATCAATCGTATATAGATCATCTATAAATATATAAATATATATTATTTCTTTCATATGATTTTTTATTACTATTATTATCTCCATATTTTCTGATGATTGATTCATGATCATTATAGATTAGTGCAATCTATCAATTTCTAAGAATCATTTCTATTTCAGATATAGAAAATCTTTCTAAGATATGAATTTGACGATCTAAGATTTCAGATTTTAATATTTATAAAATAGATAGGAATTCAAGATTTTTTCTAAGGAATTATTCAAATCATAATTTTAAAAAGGAATTTTA